GGCGCGTAAAGTTCGTCTCGTGGCTTCGTCGGTAGTCCCTTCCCCACCCCACACATGCGCAAAGACTTGTACCCCACTCAAATTAAAATGATAAGTTAATTAGGCACCTGGAATTTGTGATTCATTTAAGTAACTTATGAACTAAATTGGAAGATTGAAAACTCAAACAACTGAGTTGAATTTTCATGACACATTATTTATGTCTGATTGAATGACATATATAAGTTATCATAACTTTTTCATCAGATCATTTTTACATTGCTGATTTTAAAGCTTACTGAACTTGAAATGATTTGGATATCTATAGTTCTACATAAATACACAACATAAGAATGGCCCCTCTGTAATAATTGTGGCCCCTCTTGTGCCCCCCAGTTGAAAAAATCCTAGAATCGCCCCTGGATTGATAAGCTTAAATCTCAGGCTGCCAGTATGGATTGAAAACACAGTAACTTACATCAGAGTATCCAGCGCTCATAAAGATTACATCGACGCATTTGGGTATAAATTCAATAAATATTATTGTTGTTTATAGAAATATGATGTAAACATATGCGAATCTATCAATATGTCTCCAAATCTGCTAAATAATAACATTAAATATGATAGTAACTTTGAACTTTTTTTTATAATCTATGCTTTCGACCAGTTCATGGCTGAGCTGTGGTAAGTGCAGTTACTCGTTCATTTCTGTTAACTGAAGTTAAAAGGTGATGAACTGAGAAATCAAACTTTCCTTTTCTTTTGACATCTAAGAGGTCATCATATTATAAGAATATCCTATAAGTTTCAGAACTGAAAACGTCCTTGTTTGTCCAATAAAAGCTATTATTGACACCAGCCTCAGCAAACGACTTGTTTTTCAAAGTGGGGAATAGTTGTTGTCAAAATATTCAGTACTTCGGTACCAAGTCGGTACTAAAAAATGTTAAACGTCACGGTACCAAGTCCCGGTGGTACCGAATACCCGGTCAAACCTGGTTCTGGATGCGCATGCATGCACGAAGGGCGTGAAGTTGCGTCCTCTTCATGAAAGTGCTGAGCATGACGACCGGCGGCGCTGCTGATGTGGTTCTCTTACGAGAGGTTCTCTCGTATTGCGTAAGCTAGCTTGTAACGCTCAGCCTAATTAAGGCAGGATACACCACAAAATATACGGTTTAAACCCTCTATAAATTCTTTAAATGAAATTGTTCTATTTACTCACACCATAAACACAACAGCAAACAAGATGTTATAATACCTCAAAGTGTATTAAATACAAAGCACCAACAATCAACATCTACAAACTATGAAATAAGTCCAGTGAGTGTGTGAGTGTTCCAATCCAGTGTAAGTGTATGTGTTGAATCGGGCTCACCGGTAAGCCTTTTAAAGTCCGTGCACTTGACGAGGAACAGCGCTGTCCTGTGATGCGATCTCCAGGGTAAAATAATCCACAAGTATATTTCCACAAGGAGTTCAACAATCACAGTCAATGACAATCCAAGGAGTAGTGCGATCGATCGCTAGTCCCAAAAGAGCAATGTTTACGTTGCTCCCGAACGCCGCTTTCCCGGCTCTTTTAAACGGAAGTAAAAGTCATTAACCCAGCTGATCAGACTAAAGTCACGGGGATTCCCTGGAGCTCCGCAACGGAACTCTCGCGGTAAAAACCAGGAACACAATCACATGTCCGGGGCATCAACAGAGAAAGAATAATTATAAAAAACAGCTGTCTGGTAAGCATCATACAAATACTTCACAGCAATATAAACATTCTTTCCTTATGTGGCTTAGCTACATATTCCCCCCCCCCCCAGCCAGCGGCATCGGAGGAGAGCGTCCATAATAGCGCTTCAAGTTTACCACATTCAGTATATCAACTCTAGGTGGGTTGCCCCAGCACACAGTGTAATTTATTGGCCCTGTTTTACTTTTAATTTCAGCTGGACCCTCCCACTTGGGCGCTAGCTTGGCAGAAAATTTGTTTGCTGAATTAGAGAGAGGATGGGTTTTGATCCAAACCAGGTCACCCGTATGAAACTGCGCATCTTTCCTACGGTTATTATTTTGCTTGGCTCATCCTCATTCTATTCCTCACTCCCTCCATCAAGTTGTTTTGTCGTTCGACCAGGGAATATGCTGCTTGATCAGGTGAAGGCGGTCGATGGATAAGACGTTCCAGTGGTCCTAGAATTTGTCTACCCAGCATGAGCACAGTAGGAGTTTTTCCTGTGGTTTCTTGTTGAGCAGTGTTGATGGCATAGCGGAATTCTGGTAGCCACTGGTCCCAGTTCTGATGATGTTGACCCACATATGCAGCAATCATAGTTTTTACAGTCCGGTTGATTCTTTCTGTTAGGTTTGACTGTGGATGATAACTCGTGGTGAGTTTCTGAACACAACCCCATGTTTTACACAGATCGCTCAGAAGGCTGGACGTAAATTGGGGACCTCTATCGGACACCAGGTATTTGGGTACCCCCCATCGTGTAAAGATCTCCTCTCGTAGAATTTTCACTACTTTCTGGGTCTTGCTGTCTCTCAGCGGGAACATTTCCACCCACTTGGTGAAGTAATCAACAATGACAAGGAGGTACGTATTCTTCTGTTTACTGGCAGGGAATGGTCCCATTAGATCCACCCCCAAAGTGTGTCCAGGTTCAGTGATCTGTGTACTCTGCATCAATCCAGAAGGTTTTGTATTGCTGGGTTTATATTTCTGACAAATCTCACAGCTTTTGACGTATTGGCACACGTCCTTCCTAACAGACGGCCACCATGCCACGTCTAAGATCTTCAGCAGAGTCTTCAACTGTCCGAGATGTCCTCCAAGCGGATTATCATGGTAATAGTGCATGAAGTCAGTGGTTAATGATAGTGGTACTACCAACTGATACTTCTCTCCTTTCTCTGAACTTTGCGGTACCATACCCCTTGGAGGTTTTCAAAGGTGATGGCTTGATCTTTGACTGATCGAGGTTGAATGTTAGATTGTAATTCAGTGATGGTATTGTCCAATTGTTGAGCTTTAGTAATTTCCTCCAGAGAGTGAGGTAATGTAGACGCATGTTGGGAGGATATGGATAGACAAGGGGCAACATCCGCATCAGGCATACCTGGGACCCGGGACAAAGCGTCAGGACCCATGTTGAGGCAGCCTTTTCGATGATGGACCTGAAAGTTGAACTGTTGCAGTCGTAGAGTCCAGCGAGTTAGGCGTGAAGAGGTTTTAGGGCAGTTGAATGCCCAAGCTAGTGCCGCATGGTCAGTGAAGACGTTGAAGGCTCTACCCTCTAGGTAATGTCTCCACTTTTCAACAGCCCACACCACTGCCAGACATTCCTTTTCAGAAGTGCTGTAATTCTTCTCTGCTCCAGTTAAGGTCCGTGATGCATAAGCCACCACCTTTTCTCCCTCCTCTGATTGTTGAGTGAGGATGGCACCCAGTCCTACCTCACTAGCATCCGTGTGAACCTGGAAGTCTTTAGTGTTAGTGTATTAGTGTAGTCTGGTTGTATTAACACCGGTGAGTTTTGCAAAGCTTGTTTAAGTGCATCCATACTAGACTGACACTCCGAGGTCCACTCCCACTTAACACCTTTCTTTTTTAGGTGGTTTAAAGGGGCAGCGATGTCAGCGAAATGGGGTATAAACTTATGATACCACCCTGCCAATCCCAGAAATCTTTGCAAAGCTTTGATATCTTGTGGGATTGGGAACTCTGCAACCGCACTGGTCTTTTCTCGGTCAATCTCCACTCCCCTCTCAGAGACTATATGGCCGAGGAATTTGAGCTGTCGCTTGAAGAAGTGGCATTTCTTCATGTTCAACGTCAGGTTGGCTTGATTAAGTCTATGTAGCACCATGTTGAGGTGTTGAACGTGTTGCTCTATTGACTTTGAATAGATGATGATGTCGTCAATATAAACGAAACAAATCTTCCCTCTTAACTCAGACAGAACTCTCTCCATCAGACGCTGGAAGGTAGCAGCGGCATTTCTGAGCCCATACGGCATAGACTTGAATTGAAATAGCCCCTTGGTGGTGATAAAAGCAGTTCTTTCCTTACTCTGTTCTTCCATCTCCACCTGCCAGTATCCAGACTGCAGATCCAAGGAACTAAACCAAGAGGCTCCTTCCAGTGATTCAAGGATGTCGTGGATCAACGGCATTGGATAAGCGTCTGCCACTGTCTTGCTGTTCAGCCTCCTATAATCCACGCAGAACCTGTGTGAGCCATCAGGTTTGGGGACAAGTACCACCGGTGAAGACCATGGTGAGAAAGAAGGTTCAATAATATTGTCTCGCAACATCTGCTCTACTTGCTCCTCTATAATCTGCTTTTTAAGAGGAGACACTCTGTACGCCCGGGATTTGAGGGGTATGTCATCAGAAAAGGTGATTTTGTGTTGTACAATTGAGGTCTTACCCAGGTTGTTGGAGGTGGTGCGGGGCCAGGCAAATATCAACTTCAACAACTCCTCCTGATTGTCCGAGTCCCATATAGTGCTCTCAGTGAGAATGGAGAACAGTTCTGGAAGCCTCCCTGTGGATGGTATCGCATAGTATAAATTCAGCTTTGCATCCCTATGAGGAAGATCTTGACCCTCTGGGATCCCCGGACCTGTTGGCATCTGTGATGGCAAGAAAGAGTAATAGGTGTTTCCTTTTTCAGATCTTAATCCATATCTGCCTCGTCCCACTTCCAGGACTGCTCCCGTGTCTCTCAGGAAATCCAACCCGGCAATAAGAGGAAATGCGAGGTGAGTGTCTTTTAGGATATAAGTATCCAAACTGCATTCTTGGTCATGCCATTGAATCCTAATCCTTTGCAGATCTCTGGACTGGTGCACTGTGCCCTCCGCCATTATAAACCTCTGTGGAGTGGAGGTAACAACTGATGGAATCTCACCTTTCAACTGTTTCCACAGGCTTTCTTGCATTAACGTGTATGTGCTACCTGTGTCTAATACAGCTTTCACTTCTTTGCCGTTCACTCTTACAGGCACCATCAGGAGAGATGACACTGGATGGGGTTGTGCTAGTGTCACTCCAGCCAGGTTTTTGTTAGAGGTACTTTCAGATGACTTCTTGTTGGTCTTTTCTTTACTGCTTTGAGTGCTGACTTTTTGCCAGTAGTCTTTGGCTCCCATGTGGTCCTTTTCCACCATACAGCCAACCTTCACCAGCTGCTCAACCGACTTGACGGTTCCCCTCATACATCCTGCAACCCTGGGGTTGATGTTGTTGAGTATGCGATTTACTAAGTCCTCCTCAGATATATCTGGCTTCCATTTCAGACATAGGGCCCGGTAGTCATATGCAAAGTCCCTCAGACGTTGTTGTGGCTGTTGAACCATTGTCCTCAGCTTTTCCTCCACTTCTGAGAGGTAATCATCTGAAAGAAAAGCAGTCATGAATGCTTCTTTGAAGGATTTCCAATCCATTACCTTGACCTTCTCCGCTTTCCACCAGCTCAGAGCAGGTCCCTTCAGCACCGTGCTTAAGGTTCCTAAGAGTTCTGCACTGGGGAGGGGCTGAATCTCCAGGAAGTTCTCACATTGTTCAATGAAATTGAGCACCTCCGCCGTATCACAGGAGTCACCAAAAGAGGGGAATTCGATGCGGATAGGAGGTCGGGCACAGAATGAGGATGAACCTGCCACTAATGAAGGGGTAAGCAGATTAGATTGTCTATCATACATAGGATGTTGCACATCATAAGTAGCATTGAGGGGTGTATGAGTGGGAATTTTCGTTCCAGATACTCTAGCTGGGGTCGGTGGTTGAAGGACAGTGGAAAATCGGGAGGTATCTGGATAATGGGCCTGTAATCTGGTGAGTGTGGGAGTGCTAGTGAGCCTTAATTTTCTCATTTGACTTTCCCATTTCGCATCTCTCCTCAGAAAACAATTTGTCACAGCCCTTTCTAATTTTTACAGAGCATCAGCAACATAATCTTCCAACTTTGCCAAGCTAGAATCTACAGCCTGCCTGAAACTTGTTTCCCGATTTAATGTACTGTCCATTGACTGTTTGAAATCTTGTTCTATGGTTTGTACTTTGTTATCAAGGGCCAATAAATCAACTTTACATTGAGTTATTTCTACTTGCAATGATTGTACCATATCAACAGTTTGTGTACAACTCTCATCATCATCATCAGATTGTTCTGCATCAGAAAGGTACAATGAACTAAGCATTGAAGTTATTTCAGCAGTAGGATTACGTCTAGTCCCAAAAGAGACAGGAATACAAGTAAGATCTTTAGCTTCAGTATTATTTGGGACATTTTCAAATGTAACCAAGTCATCAGCAGTATCAACAATTTCGGTAACTGCATCAGTATTCCTCACCTCCATCGTGAGAAAAAAAAAACAGACAAAAAGAACAATAATAAAGGGTCCCCGTACGGGCCACCAATATGTAACGCTCAGCCTAATTAAGGCAGGATACACCACAAAATATACGGTTTAAACCCTCTATAAATTCTTTAAATGAAATTGTTCTATTTACTCACACCATAAACACAACAGCAAACAAGATGTTATAATACCTCAAAGTGTATTAAATACAAAGCACTAACAATCAACATCTACAAACTATGAAATAAGTCCAGTAAGTGTGTGAGTGTTCCAATCCAGTGTAAGTGTATGTGTTGAATCGGGCTCACCGGTAAGCCTTTTAAAGTCCGTGCACTTGATGAGGAACAGCGCTGTCCTGTGATGCGATCTCCAGGGTAAAATAATCCACAAGTATATTTCCACAAGGAGTTCAACAATCACAGTCAATGACAATCCAAGGAGTAGTGCGATCGATCGCTAGTCCCAAAAGAGCAATGTTTACGTTGCTCCCGAACGCCGCTTTCCCGGCTCTTTTAAACAGAAGTAAAAGTCATTAACCCAGCTGATCAGACTGACGTCACGGGGATTCCCTGGAGCTCCGCGACGGAAACTCTCGCGGTAAAAACCAGGAACACAATCACATGTCCGGGGCATCAACAGAGAAAGAATAATTATAAAAAACAGCTGTCTGGTAAGCATCATACAAATACTTCACAGCAATATAAACATTCTTTCCTTATGTGGTTTAGCTACAAGCTTACGCTATGGGAAAGATTCATCTTTTCTGAGAAGTTGAAGCCAAAAAAGATCCTTTAATTTTGTATCCATTGTCAACGCAGTTCACCTGCAGCAGACCATGAGCGGGCTAGCTAGCAGCTCATTGGTTCACTCAGGGAGATCTGCTACAGCCTATGAGAGAACTCGGCTGAACTCGCGGCCAATGAGAGGCTGACACGCTCTCATTGCATCAAAGCCCGCCAAAACGGGCGTGGCTTGAGTCTATAAATATGCGAGTCTCCCGCTGTTTTACCGATTTTCATCTCTTCAGCGAGGCTACATGCATCTGCTGAGTACGAGAGGAAGCAGTCGCCATCAAGAACGCCTCTCTAGCGAGCATCTTGGAGACTGAGGAAGTGGCCGTCTTCGCCACCTTCAGCCGTCCTGCAAGCTAGTGCCATCCGACAACAATATCCTTTTATATTGCCTTTCTTGTATCTAAAAGAGCAGCGAGCGTCTTTTTCAAGGTGCCTCGTGCTTCCTGCGGTTCTTGCCGCGCTCCTCTCGAGGACTGAGATCGCCATGTCATCTGCGCTCTCTGCCTTGGATTGGAGCATGCGGAGCCAACGGAGGTTACGACCTCTGCGAAGACCTGCCGTTGTCTACCCTGCGGGCTCGACTTCAGGCCGTCAAAACTGCGTCCGCGCCGCCTCTCACTTCGCTGCGGAAGAAGAAACGCCGCTCTCAGAGGCTGCCGGAACCCCCTCTGGAAGCGTTCATCCCGCCTGAGCCACCTTTCACCTCCCGCTCTCCCTCTTCGCCCCCCACCGGACGTACAGTTGCCGCCGAGTGGCCACTCTGTTGCCTCCGACGATGCTGCGGGTATTAAGGAGACATGTTCGCTTCTCGCCTCAGACAGTGAAGAGTGGTCTGGATCTCACGCCTCTTCTTCGGCCAGAGAATCCATCGGGACCCGCGCCGGAATCGAGGAGGAACTCATGCGGCTCCTCTCACAGGCCGTCGACCGCCTCAGGCTTGAGTGGTCTCCGCCGACGCTCTGCTCCCGCTGCTAAACGGGCCGTTCCCTTTCTGCCTGAACTTCACGCCAAGCTCACGAAGTCTTGGAACGCCCATCTCTCGGCCAGAAACCGCTCTGATGTTTCCACCTCGCGCCGCCGAGAAGAGCTATTCGGCTATTCCCCCTGTCGAGGACCTGGTCGCTGCACACCTCTGCCCACCCTTCGCGAGATGGCGGTCTAACCCTGTGCTTCCCTCTAAAGTCTGCAGAGTAACTTCTAACTTCCACGCCCACGCCTATTCCGCCGCCGGCCAAGCCGCTTCTGCGCTTTACTCTGTTAGATAATTGCATTACAATAGGCTAGAATAAGGGGAAAGTAATAGCACAAGGCAAATAGTTTTTGCACAATGAACCCACAGTAGCCTAACGTTACCCGTACTAGACAAGGTCACTGTTTCTCAAAAAAAAAAAATAATATCAGATTCATTAGCAAAATTAAGGCTATAGTCCGGAGCTTACCTCTTGCTCCGCTTATTTGTTACTGGGGCAATAGAGCGCGTTTGTGACAAAACAATACTAACATTATAGGGCCTGGTAATGTTGCGTCTATTGCGTTCGTTATAAGTTTGTTATTTCAAATGTAGGCGCGAGGGTATGCGCGCTCATAATGGAAGCGACACAGTCGCGGTGCGACATGCTCATTTTTTGTCCTTTTTTTAATTATGTTTTATTAACGTAGTTCGGGAGGAACACGTCAAATGGGCTACTCTAGCATCATCAATCAATCAATCTGTCTACAATCGGTAATCAACAAATACTCTAGTATCTCCAGCTGTGTTCAATCATCAGTAATTAACATATCTACCCAATCAGCACGAAGGCAAACCATATATAAGCACAGTCAAACTCACCTAAGGATGTTCTACAGTCTTCAGAATAGGTTTGCCTGAACAGCCGCCATGTCGGAGATCGAACTCTTCCCGTCAGATGACGAATCTCTCTTCTCTCAGGACTCTGCCTCAATTCCAGCCACTCCAAGGACCGTCATTTCACCACTAGGTACCATCACCGAGTCTCCAGCTTCAGGGCGTGGTCGCCAGCCAATCCGTGCCGCTACTCATACGCCAGAACGACGAAGACAGCGCTCACCTCCACCAACGAGACGCACAGATTCTTCTTCGTCCTCATCATCCTCCTACTCACTGGCCCAGCCAACCATTCCTGCAATCGGGAAATGGACAGTGTTAGGTCTAAGGCAAGCTTTGACCAACGCGGACATCCACTACACCAGACGGATGAATAAAGCAGAATTATACCAACTATTCTCTAACCTTCATCCAACAGGCGCCCGCTCTAAACCCTCATCTCCCTCTAAGGTCTCCAATAAAACAACAGACAAAACTAACAAAGGTAAAACACCACGTACCCCTCTAATCCGGTATTCCTCCACAGCGAGACTGGACCACCATCGACCTTCAGGTAGGAGCAGCACGCCGTCAGCTAGCCTGGGACGGGCCCCAGTTTCCTCCGCCGTTAGATCACTACCCTCTCCGCCTTCTGCTCAGCATCACTCATTACCGGTCACCAACAGCAACCGTCTTCCCTCTAGCGTGAGGTTGCCTCCGCTAGCAGGGCAAGTGCAACCTGCTGTTACTATTCCAAATACTCTCCATCTTTCGTGGCCCGCGGCTCCTGACGTGAGGTTGCCTCCGTCAGAATCGCGGGCTCAGACAACTCTCCCTTGTTTTTATCCTAACCTTTTTTCCCAGCTGGGGCCTACAGCAGACCCTAGCGTGAGGATGCCTCCGCTAGCGGCGCAGGCCCAGTCGCCTTATTTTCCATCTCAGCTTTATCTCTCCTTCCCGGTTGCTTGCCAAGCTCCAGGGGCCATCTCAAATGCAAGACCACCTCCGTTTTCCACGGTGCCCCCGGATTGTCTACCACAAAACATGCTTCCTCAGGCAAAATCACCATTTTCTCTGTTTACAGCAACTCAGATGCCCATACCTCCAAACACCATCGCCTTGGAACCGCCCCCTGTCGCCAGCAACATCCGAGCGCAGATCCTATCAGGTGCGGATATTGACCTATCATCTCTCCTTTCTCTGCTTCCCCCATCTGATTCAAATCGCCAGCTCGATTGCGGCGACTTCTCAGTCACCCTAAAAAATCAAAACAACACATCATCCCGGATTTTGTCATTTTCAGAATTTTGCATTGCATTCGGTAGATACACAGAGATTGTCTGCGCTGCCTTTCCCCATAGGAGGCACGAGCTCAATGACTATCTTGCGATCGTGGCAGAGCTCGGGTTATCTTATGGGGGATCACATTTTTACACATACCACAAGCTGTTTGCCGCTAAATGTGTCGTCCGAATCACCCTATG